TGCCATGCATCTCTCTCTCAATAAGATGGCCATTAAGGGTGCTGACAGACATGAAGGAAAAAAAAACCCAAGAAAGAGAAGCATGTTAGTTCAACCTGGCTCCTCAGAGTCTGTATAGATTGGGCAATTCAGCAGGGCTTTAGAGCACTTTTATCAAATAACTGATTTAATCCTCTAGATAAAAACACCAAATAGCCTCACTGAAGTGCCTGATCTATATTAGACATTGGGTGAGCGGGGTAAAAATAATGCAATGCCTCTTCTGGACATAAATACGCTGCACTTGGTGTGAGGGCACGCAAAGCTGAAAGTAAAGAAACAACTGAAAAACTAAGGGGTGTTATTTTCTGAGGGGTTCCAAGGGGTTTCTTGAGTCTAAAAATGTTAGGAAACACTGTTCTAGAAGGTGTACTAAACAGTTTGTGCTTGTGGACTGTCTCAGAGTAACCAGAGCTATAAACAAGTGCACCAAGACATCGGTCTGATATTGGAAATCGGCACCAATATAAAGAAAACTGTCTATATCAGAAATTGGCCTGATGTGGCTGATAAACAGTCCGTGCATGCACACAGCAGCACATAGGCAGTGAGAAGCACAGCCAGCAGCAGAGAGCTGTGTGCAGCTGGTAAGCGTGTTATGCTGGAAGGGGAGGGGCAGGGTGCAGATCAAGGACCCCACAGTGAGGAGGGAGTGGAGCTGTGGCAGGTACTGCCCAGCTGGGGGGGGCAGGGGAAGCATGGGATGGAGCTGCGGCTCATCCATTGTGGGAAGGGGGGGGTTGGGGAAGAGGGCAGCTTGTCTGCAAATCTGGCAGTTCCTGCTGCTGCTCCCGCCATTCTTCCTGGAGGGGCTCCTGTGCCCCTGGATCTACACAGGGTGTGCACAGCGGCAGTGGGAGGGGGGTTATGGGGAGGCTATGCCAATTTCTGGGGTAGCTGCAGGCTGCCCCGGAGCCCCCTCCTAGCTCTGCTGCCTGCCCAGCACTACCCCAACCCACAGCTGAAGCCTACCCCACCTGCATCCCAGGCAGATGCAGGGCACATGTCCCCCACCATGCCCTCCCAGGGTGTGCACAGCAGCGAGAGCTGCCCCACCCCCCGGACAAGCCACAGCTCCATCCCATGCCCTGCACCACCCCAGCTGGGCAGCACCTGCCCCAGCCCCACTCCCTCCCTCAATGCAGGGGCCTTGATCTGCCCCTCACATGCCCCTTCCTTTCCCCCACAACTTACCAGCTGCACGCAGCTGTATCGGACACTGGGTCAGTATCGGCCAATATGCCTCCTTAAAAACTGGCTATTGGTATCAGTTCCAAAAATCTCTATCGGTGCACCCCTACTATGAACAATAGCTTGAGCTTGCCCAGTAACCAAGGGGAGCCTTGTATGTGGGTCCAATACAGCCTTTTAAGGGAAAGCATGATTAGAGTCACAAAAAAAAAAAAAAATCTTATCTCAGTACTCTGCTTTGAAACACACGTGCTGTCACTGCCATCCAGTGGCAATACACAGGGGCTGCACATGCACCCCGAGTGCCGGTGGACCCCTTGACTAGCTTTGTTCGCCTCTTAGGCAATGGGCAGGGGTGCTGGTGAAAGCATCAGTGCCCCCCTGCAAGCGCTGGCCAATCCCAGAAGGGAACACCCCTGGGCAGCGAGACTGGCCACGGGGGAACCCCCCACAGCGAAACTAAGTTGGCACCAGTTGCCCATGTCACCATCCACCACCCTGCACTGCCACTCTGCATGCAGCCACTACTCCCTGATGAACTATATTTTTAAAAAGTGCTGGATTTTTGAGAATTCTGAAAAATGGATTTATGAGGTTATACTGCATCATAAAATCCTCCAAATAGACACATGTTTTTCTCTTATTCCTGTTACATTAATTTAAGGTTGGAGTCTTGTTGTAGCCATGATGGTGCAGGAAATGCATGAGAGATGAAGCTTTTTTGTGGCAGTTTTTACTGGACCAACTGAATGATGTCCAGTGTTGCTTCCTAACTATGCAGTTGGCCCAATAACAGACACCACAAAAAACCTGACTAATTGTACAATTATTTAAGATGGAAAGTATTTTTTAATTGATTAAAATAATTTCTATAATGCAATACCATCTTCTGTTGGTAGGGTAGTAAGTATACAGGAATCTTATCAGCCCAATGATAAATACAGTAAAGGGGTCTTCCGTATATCAGTCTAGAGCATACACAAAGTACAATTTCAGAAACACTACTCCCAACTTCTGAAATATTTCATACTGTTTCTAGTTTATTCTGTATGGAACAACCCACCTTATGTACAGGCCAAATATATTATAAATCAAGACTCTGGTGAACTTTCAAAAGTAATGGCCAATAAAGACACAGAATATGTCATACTTTAAAATTTACTTTCACCATTACTAATCATTTCAAGTTAAATCACAGATCTATTACTTTTATTTAATATTAAGTTTTAGGCTTAATAAATAAGCCATCATTCACTTCCTGGTCAGCAACATTTCCTAGTTTAACACCTACTAATGGTAACTAGGTCAAGGAAAAAAAGGATCTCCATATACTAATTGCCTACCTATCCCACTGACAGCCTACAATAGAGAAAAGCATTCTTCCCTGCCTCATGTACCAACCTATGGAGCACCAGAAGGTGAGCTCTGCCACTAAACAACTGAGGTGTGAAACCCAGCCTTCTGTAGCACTTTAAGTGAAAATGGTATAGTGAAGGGGTAGCAGGAGGGAGGGGGGAGATAGACATGTTGTACCACCTACGTCTGCTGCTGTCACCTATCATGGATCATGCTCCTTTCAGGGAAGTCCTAATACAGAGCTGCCCCTGAGAAGCCTTGTGCAGTCTGCCTGTCCTGAAAGGACCCCCTGAACCCAGTCCTGGGATGAAGTCAGGGCGCTAACCCACCCTGCCATTCGCTTGTGTTCATTAGAAAGCACAGTGATTGAAGTGATTGCTTATTAGCTTGGTATTAAGGAGTCAATTTTCCCATCAAACTGTTGGGACTAAAGGTCCACAGTCACCACACTTACCAGGACTTTAAAGCAGGCAGATGGTAATGAAACAAGTTTTTCCCCTCTCTACAGTAATCAACTAGTGTAGTAGTTGGAAGCCTGTCATCTATTACCAGTTAGTTTCCATCATACCAACAAACATTATCACGTGCACATGGAGACTATATCCTCACTCAAAGTGTTAGAACAAGGGTTATTACAGAACAGACTCATTAAAAGTCTGCACAATTCACTGTAAAACTGAACTGTTATTTTAGTTACAGCTTCCTCCCACAGTCCTTCATCCCACTGCAGATGCAAAATTCCCTTATTTAAATTTTGTTTGTGTACAACTTGTTCTCAAGCAGCTTCCCTAATAACTAAGTCATCCCTCCATTCTTCCTTGTCTCCTTCCACTACCATACTGTGTTACTGACAGTAGCGAGACTGACATAAATGCAAAATTATCCACACCCCATTTCCCTCATAAGCAAACTTCTTGCCGCAGCTGTGCTCTTCCAGGGCTCCACCAGCAGCCCAGCACACACGGCCCTAGCCCAACCCTGCCACTCCCACCCCCTGCTCCCTCCAGCTCCAGTTCTGGTCCTCTGGGGCAGTCAGCAGCAGTCTGGCCCCTGCCCTGCCTGGCCAGGGAGAAGCAGCAGCAGTTCCTAGTCTGGCAAGATAGGGGCTAAAGGAACTAGAGCAGAAGGGAAGGGGAGCAGGAAATAGGAGGGGCAGGCTCAGCCACAACCACGGGGGAGAAAGGGGTGGGAGAGGTAGTCTGCAGGTCCCCCACTCTCAAGTCTCCCCGTGCTCCTCCTCCCCTACCTAACAAGCTATTCCAGCCTAAGGCAGGCCGTGGCTCAGCTTCATCTTCAGTCAGGGGCCCAAAGTCAAAGTTGGAGCTAAACTGTCACCTACCCCAAGCTGGTGTTCAAATCCAAGTTAAAGCTTTCCCTCCCCAGGCTGACCAGGGGAAAAACCCCTCATCTTGGATTCAAGTAAATATGATAAAACCTAGTAATTTTCTCTCTTCAGCAGGTAGCACCACAGAGCCAAGTTCTGGCATCCCAGGGAGCATTTTATTCCACAAACAAAGAAATATACCCTGTAGGATTACAGCTGCTACCACCGTCCCAGGGAACTGTCCAGTTTTTCCATGCACCTGCCTGACAACTTTGCTCACCTGGCTCCTCTGCTCAGTCGTTTGCTCCTAACTGAGGCAAGTAATCTCCAATACAACTAGCTTCGCTGCAATTTCTCAAGCTTCCATGAAGCCCTCAGGCCCCACCTGTCTAAACCTGCACAGAACTCGGAACCATGGCCTCAAGTCAACAATGCCCTATCACTACCGATCTCCTTCTCCCAAGCCCTGCGGCTCCTGGCAAGGACCTAGTTTTTTCTTTTGCAGCAAATGAAACAAGCCTGGGGAGCACGCGCGGGAGAGGGGAAGGGAGGAGAGAGTGAGGAAGGGGCTACACTTTCACAGTGTCTGGACTGACACAGATGTTCCTTTAGAGCAGTGTTTTTCAACTCATGGGTCATGACTCAAAAGTGGGTCTCAAGACTATTTCAATGGGTCTTGAGCTGCGGCAGGGTAGAAAGGTAGCAGGAAGGGGCAGGGGAGAGAGCTGCATGGCAGGGCTGGCACAGGACCTGGTGCCCATGCTTGCTGGGGTGGAGCAGCCAGGAAGCTGGTGGGGGCAGGAGGGGCCGGGGCCAGGACCAGGACCAGGACCAGGCTGCCTGGCATGGTGCAGCCTTGCAGCCCCAGCCCAGGGAAGGCTGGGTGCCACAGGCCTCTCCTCCTCCCCCTTCAAGCCTGTGCAGGGGCCAGATCTGTTTTGCTGCAGCAGCTACTGCACGAGTGGGATGGGGGCAGCTGGGGACCCTTCTAGCAGAGCTGGGGGGGGGAGGGCGAAGAGTGGGCTGCGGGTCAGGACTGAGGGACGCCAGCATGGGAGACTGGGGCCCAGGCCCCGGCAGCAGGACTCACGCTGACGAACTGCACGTCCTCTTCGCTCTCCGCCGGCGCCTCGCGCTTCGGGGCCCGGGCGGGGCCCGCGGCCTCCATCGCCTGGACGCGGCCGAGCTGCAGGGTCCGCCCCCACACCCGCAGCGC